GGTTGGAACCGAAAGCTCAGAGCTAAGAGCGTCTTCATCAGCCCTAAACCCTAAACCCCGAAACCTTCAGCCCTAAATCCCTAAACCCCTAAACTCTTCACCCAGAGGTTGGGACCGAAAGCAGGCTACCAAAGGTGTGCTGGGCTCAGCCTTTGTGCTGGGTGAAGCCTGCTAAAGTGTGGAATTTAGGGCTTTTAGGGTTTAGGGTTTAGGGCGTTTTGGGTTTAGGGTCTAGCGCGTTTAGGGTTTAGGGTACAGAAGCCCTGATAGTGCCAACAGGGCTTAGGGGGTTATTACGGAATATCGACAATGGGACTGCGGCACCATTCGGATGGCTGATTGTTCAGACTCTTGTATCCCTATACACTGGATTGCGCAGCTGTTTTTGTTGGTGGCCTGGCTGTTCTCCAGAGAAGGTGCTAAGTGCTGTCTAGGTGATGGTGAGTAATTATTGTTTAACATTTAAGAGCTTAGCTGTATTTGTCTATAGGGTTCGAGTCCCCGAAATCCTAAGCTGCTTCCTAAACGGGTAAACGTACAACTTGCCGCTCTCTGTACGTACTTAGTATGTTTTCTTTATACAAGTCCTTGAAGAGGTAGGTGTGTTGGGGGCAAGGTAAACCCGAACCCTGAACTGCTTCCTCCTCGAAGGGAGCCTGGCAACCTGCTTCTCTTTACGCTTAGTCTTATGATTTCTGTACATGGTTAGTTGGGGGATGAGGTAGCCCCTAATCCTGAACTGCTTCCTCCTGTTTGTGTCTTTTTCAGTACGAATACGATTCCTCAAATATAATGCAACCCCCCAAACCCTGTTCTAATTATTAAGGCTCCTGGATTAGGATCAACCGCTGTCGTCGCTCATTGAGCACAACATGTTTCTTTGGTGTCCTGGACCTTCTGTTGAGTACATGGCAGGGCAGGAACCAGGACAGCAGTTATCCCATTATTTAGGCGATAAAGAGGCAGACTTTCAGGAGGTCTCTGTGTGCTCTCGGTGGTGGTCTTCACCCTACATAAAACCCGGAAGCCCGACACTCTGAACGCCGGGACCCTAAACCCCTAAATCCTCAGACCCAAACCCTTTCACCCCAAAACCTGCCCACAAATGTAACCCCTAAGGCATCCTAACCCACCCCCACTTCCTGAACCTAGGCTTGTTTCCAATCTTGGGGTCCCGATCCTACCGTACTCAGCAGGGTCCCAAGTAACGAATTGGTCTTCCTTATTGAGGTATATCAATGTCATGTCTTTCAAGCCCTGAACCATGACGAATGCAACGACGACATAGAATCGTGTGCTGTTGTGCTGTTGCAGCTGGGCCCTTACCAAAGCACTTTTAGGCAAACATCCAAGGCAGCTGCACTAGCAAACACGACTCGCCTTCGCTACCAACGGCACTGCAGTTATAGCTGCATAGTCATGCAAGGACCACTTTGAACCAAGCAGCCACCCCCGAGCGACATAGTGCAATAAAAGTTGGCAGGTACGTGCTGCTTTCCCTTCGCAGTCCCGAGCTCTCACTGGGGATTTCACTTTGCACCCTGGTATGAAAGCTTTAGCCCCGAAACCCATATGGGTGGTTGTCAAAATTGTGGTCCCTTTTTTGGGTCCCTATTTTTGTATGGCACCTAATATTTAGGGTGCCCAAAAAGGGACCATAATTTTGACAACCACCCATATATTCCCAACACATCCTGAAATTCGTAACTTGGAGTCAAGGTTTCGAGGTCTCAGGCCTGGAGACCTTAAAACCATCGGAATTTGATCGGTAAATGATATGGGTGGCTGTCAATTAAAATTAGGGTCTCTTTTTGGGCACTTTGAATATTAGGTGCCGCATTATATTAGGGACCCAAAAAGGAACCCCAATCTTGTCAACCACCCATATCATATCTACTGCGAGTATGCGAGGGGGCCGCCCGAATGAATAGCTTCGAGTCGTTCTTCGCGGCTGTCCATTAGAATGCAAAAAACCCTTCCCGACATGCCCCTAGCACTCTTCTCCAGGGTCTGTATGGGAGTTTCCGAAAAGTAGAGGTACCTTATTCTGGGGGCCTTCTAATAAGGAGCCTATTATTTCCACTATTTTCGGAAACTCCCGTATTAGAGCCCTGTAGTGTCTGAAGCAAGGTGTTGACCCGGCATCGAGTTGAATTCAGACTCCGACCTTGATTAATCAACCCCCGTCCGCTGACGAAGTGCCAGCTGGGATCCCCAAAAAGGCGGTGTCAACAAGACCGAAGTTCATAAATCAGCGGTCTGAATTAACTTGGTTTCTAGACTGACGCCTTTAAACCCAAATCCTAGCACCTTAATCTTGAATGCGAAGCGCTCAGTTGAAATCGCAGACCATTTTTATTGCTTCAGATGCTCCATAGATTGCCTTCAGCTGCTGTCATAATACGGACACATTTTCTGTCAATAGAAGGTTTGCCTGTGCTGTTTGCGTTCAGCACCAGTAGGCCCTAAACCTTACAGCTCTAAGCCCTACTCCAAAGCTCTATAATCCTAAACCTACACCCTGCAACAGTAATCCCCAAAGCTTGAACGCCTACACCCTAACCCTGAGCCACAAAGCCCAGGTAAGTACTTGGGAGATATGCTCATGGACAAGCAGAAAGTCTCGGTCCGCAGCCCAGAGTCGGTAATGGGCCAAACATGGCTCTTAATGAAGAACCCCTACCCTATAATGGGCTATATAATGCGAATATAATAGCTATATTAAGGGTATATACCCAGGGGTCCTTATTCAGGGTCCCTCCTTTTCCCCTTTGATATAGGGCTCTGGCTCCTGGTCTTTGCCGGCAAAGGTGCGATTCTTCGTCCTTTTGAATTTGGGTCAGGCAGTAGTCGTAGTAGAAGTAGTAGTCGTCGTGGTCGCAGCAGTAGTAGTCGTCGTTGTTGTAGTAAGAGTGGTGGTAGTAGTAGTAGTAGTAGTAGTAGTAGTAGTAGTAGTAGTAGCAGCACTAGTAATGTAATTATGCACTGGTAGTACGAGTAGCAGTAGTAGTAGTAGTCGTCGTCGTCGTCGTCGTCGTAGTGGTAGTGGTAGCAATGGGAACAATGAGCAATTAACAGTCGTCGTCGCATACTCTCGATATGGCCAGACTATCATATACCTCAAAACTTATTCTCTTGTAGTCGTCGTCGTAGTGGTAGTGGTAGTGGTAGCAATGGGAACAATGAGCAAATAAACAGTCGTCGTCGCATACTCCGATATGGCCAGACTATCATATACCTCAAAACCCTCTTCCAATACTAGCCCTTTTGAACATTATAACAACCCTTTCAGCCTTACTCTAGTCATTGAGGCCGCTGTTGTAGGTGCTTGGATGCTCGGGGTTAGCGAGGCTGACGCCGATGCCTTCTTTCGCAGCTCTCTGACTCGAAGAACCAGGCATCTATACCAGGGCTTATACACCTAAACTTGGTTGGGACGTGGAGCTTCGAGTTTAATGCTTAGAGCTTGGGATTTAGGCCGTATATCGGTTCGTTGATGAACGGCCGAACTCGCGCTCATACTGAGTCGGTTTGTTGTCGGGGTCTGCCGATGCTTTGCGGCTTCAACCCGAATTACAACTAATTTACACGCCTGAAGTAGGAAAACCGAATCATCGGGTGCCTAAGGTGCACCTGACAGTACTGCAGATTGCACTGTGGTTCCTTTTTTTGGTGAGTGTCCCAGGTCTTTGTGCAACTTCAGCGTCAGAGTGTAAAACCTTAGTCTGGGCGTTGCTCACCAACAGTGACCATGACAGATGTAAGCGCATCAGAGTCATTTTGCATTTCCTCTGTTCGTGGGGTGGGGCCTAGCCCCACTGGTGCTCTGCGCGCTAGGCCCTCCTCTAGTGTAGCACTATAGTCATGACCATAGGATTCCGGATCCCAGAGGCTTGCATGCTAAGCCGTTTGAAGCTTTCCACCCCAAAGTTCTAAATGCTTCCCGGCTTCCCCAAAGCCCAAGAGAACCGTGCTCCTGCTCGCTAGCAAAACGGCAGAATGCAAACAGACAAGTTTCCCCGCCCAAAGTGCCCTTGTTGTCAGTGAATGTTGGTACTACGAGAGCTGCTTATCCGCACTGCTGTGCTCGTCATCCTGATAATGATCCTCAGCCTCCTAGCCTGAAGCTTGCTTCTAATCCACATGGGTCCCTTTTGGGGTATCCTAAATATTAGGTGCTGTATCATAACAAGGACCCAAAACGGGACCCTAATTTTGACAACCATGCACATGCGAGTTATTCAGGCCCAGTCGGCAGATTCCCGAAACCAAAGACAAACCCAATTAGGTTGACCTTAAACCCCAAGCCCTCCACGTGACCCGTTGGTGTGTGTTTTCGGAAGTAGAGGGCGTCAAGCATGTAGGGTGTATGTTTCACACCTGTTTCACACCTAGGGTTTCAAGATAAGCACTTTTGAATCTGTTGAAATCTGCCAAAGCCCGAAACGGTGCAGGAAGGATGTCGAAAACGACGCGTCCCTGCTGGACACTTCGGTACAGAAGTGCCCTTTGCCTTTGCCAGATCATACCTGCTTCGAGGAACACCGCAGCTAGTAAGTGGATGCCTGGACAGAATGTATACAACTTCAAGCCCTAGTTGGCCCTTTCCCAGTTGTCCAGATATTAGACGATGTGTGAAGACGCCTCATACAGTTCTGGTCATTGCCGTGGCTTCAGCCCTTTGTGACGCAGCTTTGCTATCATCTCAATCTTTAGCTTAGCAGACTCGGCCTTCTAAGGCAGACATCGAAAATTCCTGTTAGGATTAGGGCGTATGAAGCACAGGCACTGGGAGCGAATCGACCGGTCCTTATCCAGGAACGTGGTCCAGAATTCCGTAAGGGGCAGATCTAGCAGACACATTATTTCCTGACCATGACAATTTGGACTGCTGCCCGTGAAGCAGAAGATACAAGCCGTTACATACCCTGTCTGACCCACACAAGACCTACCCATCAGAGTCCACCGCAAGAAAGCACCACAGGTATGCTCGCGAGCTGATGGACAAAGTGACATCAGCCGATCTTCGCGCCCACATGCACTCCAGGACACTGTCCGTCCCACGCTTGGTGTCGGCATTTTCAATGTTTTCTTTTTTTGATGGGGGGTTTATGTTTTTGAGGAGAGGCAGGCACCCACCGAAATGCCATGAAGCCGAACTGGCCCCCAAACTCCAGAGCCCCGAATACGGCGGGGGCACTCCTCGCACGCACCGACGTTTGAGAGGGTCTTACTCGGTTTCTGATGAGTATGTGTGCTGATCTGTTGTCCCCTGGTATCAGGATGCTCGAGGCACGGGGGGCTATTCCCCGAACCAAGGCCTGAACCGGAAAGTTCAGGCCTTGGTTCTGGAACACAGCTTAGGGAGTTTAGTTTTAATTGGGGTTTGTTTAAGTTCTAAGGTTTGGGGTTCGGTTTAGTTTTAATGGGGGTTTAGGGTTTAGGGTGCAGGGCAACTTCGAGGGGAGCTTTAAAGGGCTCGAAATTCCAATCCCGAGAGCACCAAAGATCAGAGGCCTCAGCACATGGAGTGATAGATACCTTCAGTTCCTTTGTCATGCACTCACATGTCATAACGCATTTCGTAGATGCCATAGTTTATTGCCTACACCAACTTTTAATCTTTACCCCACTCGCAGGATCAAGCTGATGCGAGAGGAGCAGGTGGAGAATGCGAAGGAGGTCCCCTTGTCATCGATCCCATTGCACAGCACAACATAGTTATCGGACTGGGCAGCCCCGCACCAAGCCTGGATAATCTTGTCTAAACCCTCACAGTTCAATGGACCCGTATCGTGCCGTATAGGTACTTAGGACACTTTGGGTCCACAAGTTTGGGCGTGTATTTGGTTTGGGCTTTGGCGGCTTTGGAACTTGTTACATTGTTTAGAGTTTGGGGTGTAAGGGTCAAGGTCGGTGTATGAGAGTTTCAATTCGGGGGTTCGTGTGTTGTGGATGTGCTTATTTGCGATGGGGTTTCCGGGCATTCCAGCTTACGGCATCAGGGACGATGTCGCCTTGGCCTGTTGTACTCGACACTTGCCAAACTCCAGAGGCAATCTTAAGCTCCAGTGCTTTGGGCCGGGTGCCGGGCCATGTTGGTCCACTCAAGCTCGGGGTTAGGGCGTGTGGTACTTCGGCAACTGAGATTTGCAGGGTATCATTTAGAAGGGGCCCCCACCCTGTAACAGCGGTATAATAGGAAATATAGTAGGGCCATGTAGGGCCCTAGTATAGTCCTTATTATAAGGTGGGGGCCCCTTCTAACATATCATTCAAGTTTTTCTTCGGGTTAAAATGTCCCGAGACTTCTGAGATGCTGAGCACAGGATTTCCGGGACTTCCATAGGTACTCGTTTTGCCACGGATCCCATGATTGGCGACATGTTCAACAGAGGGTAGCTGGGCAGAGCCCTAAATAAGTAAAGCTATCTCGAAGGAGTCTCCAGCTTTCATTGCATAAAGCCACGATTTCTAGTACTTGCAACAATGCATATCAACCCATGAGCCTTCAAGTATAAACCCTAAACCCCGGAGCCCAAGCATAGACGTCAAGCGAAACCCGAAGCCCCAAGGGGAAAGCCTGAGCAGTGTCCTTTTAGGCATCCTGTGACGAGGTGGCGTGCGCATCGCCGCGGCCTCCCGTTGTTCTCTCGAGTAGTGCCTTGGCGAATGCTTTCCACAGAGTTTAGGGTCTAGGGATTAGACTGGTGTCGGAAGATTACTGATAAAAATGTGAGCATCTAGTGCATAATATTGCACTACTTTCGCCGAGACTTTAAGTTGCATTTGGGTTTAAGGGTGTATGCAGAGTTCTTGTACTTGTACGTATCCCCTACATGTGCATGTACTTGTATATTGATATGTATATGCACTCGAATGTATTCGCTTCATGTGGCCGGGCCAGTACCAAAAAGGCTGGGAAGGAGAGTTGAGAGCATGGGTAGATACTAAGTCAAACGCCGAAGCCTCGGGCGACTTAACTTAAGATAGTATACTGTAGCCCTTCCATTTCTGGAGAGAGGATGTCCTGTAAAAGCTGCTGAGGCATTCTGCGTCTTTCTCCAGGCGTTCAATGCAGGCCTGGATGGAACACGTGGTGGGGCTCAGCCCGGGATTTACTATACTGAACTTAGAACCCTAGCAAAGAATAGAATTTTAACTGTTTCTTAGGGATTATAGGAACCAAAATTAAAAAAATCATTCTATTTACTCCTAAGTTCAGAGTTCAAGCTTCCGGCTCCAGGGTTCAGCTTCGAGGGCTTGCGGTGGTCGTTGATATAGGGGCCGAAATAATTACCAATGTTATGGTTGGGGGGTTCCTTATTATGATTAACGTCTAAGGGGCCCCAATATTCTAATTTTCTAATTTTTAAGGCCCCTACATTAGGTGTACAGGTTCATGGAACCTACAGGCCCATGCATGAAAGCTTCTTTCATTCGGCTGCCATAGAATATCTGCTTCAGCAATTCGGCTGCCGTGAACACTGGTATGCCTCGAATCTATGAACATGCGTCTCCTGAAGGGTCCTAAGGGCCTATATTGTCGAAAGTAGGGCTTCTCTCCTGGGAAGTACCATGATGATTGAGCACGTATGCCCCATAGACGCACTCAGCATAAGCTGGAAGGAACTGGCTATCGACAGAGGACACGGCACAGTGGGAGCTTCCGTGAGTCGAAGTCTTTCCCTGGACGTTCGTTTTATCCTTGAAGGCCCTGCCCCCCCCCCCTCCTCCAAAAAAACAAGTACGAAACCTGAAGTCTGTGTCGCAGCATGACGAAATAATTACAGGACGAGGCAGCTCACGAGTAATAAGCCCCCATGTTTTCTAAGTGTGGGTGCGGGTCTGTATGAACGCGTGCGCGCACACGTGTGTGCTTGTGTGTGTGTGTTTCTATGTCTATGGATGTGCGTATGTGTATGTACATTTACACACATATGTCTATACAAAAAAACTACATATATACAGATGTATAGAGCGGAAACTACTAGCAAACTCCGGGTACTTCAAGTACAGGTGTCCACCCGGAGGGACGTCGGCCCACTTCACCAGAGGCATGCTGCGTGATGTGCGTTCACTTGGTTGTTCGCAGTATGACTTGAACTAATACGGTCTCAATAAGACTGACCAGAACCAAGGCACTTGCGTATATTTGTATCTATATATATATATATATATACATGTTCAGGATTGCATTTTTTGGTATGCAGGGTTTAACCTAGATGTTTCGTAGCTGTGTTGGCTAAGATGTGTTCGCAAGGTTGCCTCCACATTTCCTCTACTGGTTGTTTTTTACCGATTATAAACTGAATTTGCTTCGAACGCCATAGCAGTTACACATTTTTGTTGGAGCACACTGTTTCGCATCTTCACCGTTAGGGGTTGCGGGTTGCGAGCTGCAGACGAGGCTGGCAAGCCATGCCGCATAACACATAGGTGCTCCTCACTCCGAGCCGACCATAACATTCGAGGCACCCATCAAGTTGCCTTGAGGACTGGAATCAGGCTGTTCTAGACCACACGCACACGTACACATATGGTTTCCGGAGAGGTGCCGCGATACTTGATACCGCAGACACGAGCTTAGGTTTCTTTGTTTCTGGATGTATGCTCTTGCTGGGGAACTAGCGGTATTCCCCAAAGGCGTTTTGTACTTATGTTGGTGAGACCAGCACAAACCCTAAGAGTAGTTCTCAAAATAGGAACCCTTTGTGGTGCGATCTAGCGACATGTTTATACCCCCCGCCCAACAGCCTAGTTTTCATAGTTTTAATAGTCCAGGCCCCACATCATGTAGTAGAGGTTTGCCTTTTCGGGGATTCTTCAGTACCTGGCACCAGTTCCCACCGGAAACTCTGGGTTACGCCTGTTTGGGGACTTAGGGTTCAGGTTTTCGGATTTAGTATTTAGGGAAATTTAGGGGTTATGGGGTTTAGGGTTTAGAGGTTTATGGGGTTAAAGGTTAAGGTTGTGGATCTTTAGGGTGTCTTGACATGCACACTGATTCCCAAAGCCCGATGCCCTACAGCTTCCCGAATGCCCCAGACCAGAAACCGATTGTCCTTTTAAACCCAAGAACCACTTGCCTGACCAGGCTCGGATAGCATGACGATGAACATCGCCCCGACGGTACTCCTGACCATCTGTATTAATGCCGAGGGCACAGGTGTATTTCCAGAGAACTCTTACTTCCTGGAATCAAGGGGTATTCCTGAAGTCATATAGCTACCATGTTTCTCTGAGGCATTGTTGAGATCCAGAGATCGGACTTCAAAGATTGCCTCTGCCCCATTTGCTTCGAGCTGGACGACCTCTTGCTTCATGGTATTGGGGGGGGGGGTGGTAGATTCAGCACCGCACCAATGCAGGCTTCAGGGTTTAATGTGGTCGTCTCAGAGTCAGAACTCGGTGTGTGCCAGACCGATGAAGGTTCTTCGAATATCGCCGCCTCTCCAGAACCCTCGCCGACTCGCCCCCCCCCCCCCCCCCAACGGCAAAAGGTTGGACACCGGGGGTCACTAGGCTCGCTTTATGCCCTTGGTGACTAAATTTGCTAAGCTCGAAATCGCTACACCAGCCAACCTCTACAGGTTTAGAGAACCCTTTCGCGCCTGAACAGCTCACAGACTCACAAGCAAAAGCTAGTTTGCCAGGTCTCTGCGTTGCTGCCCGCTCCTTGAAGTTGCTTCGTGTCTGGGGGTTCTGAGTTTATGGTTTTGGATTTGAGGTTGAGGTTGATGGGTTTAGGGTTTGGGTCGTTTCTGGGTCAAGGCTGGATAGGTTTATACCGGTATGGGTTTGAGCAGGACATTACTCAACAATTATTAGTTGCTGGTATCTCCTGTGGTTTCTTGGACACTTGTAATGTCAGACCTCCTAAAGCGCGTACTTAGTTACATTGTTCAGGGTCCAACACACGAAGATAGGGTGAAGTGCCGGCAACACGCTTAGCAACTCCTGCCCTTTGCCCTGCCTTGCTCCACATCATCACTGCAGCCCGCGTCCCCAAGAGCATGCTTGCAATTCAGCTCTAAACCCGAATCCATCTTCTGGGTTGTCCGGTTGAGCAAAATTACTATAGGGGCCTAAATAGTTACCAATACTACTTTGGGGGTTCCTTTTTTTAGATATAGTACAATGGGCCCCAAAACCCTATTCTAATTATTAAGGCCCCTGTGCCTGGACTTTCAGGTCACACATGGGCTGTTGAGCTGCCAGGTGGTGTATGTAACGGAGTAGGAGCATTAGGTTTAGGGGTTGAGGGTTAAGGTCCTGAGCCGTTACTTTTGTTTCCGCAAAAGGGGCCCACGCGGTACAAAAGATAACAGTGGCTCGCTATTCTGTACCAAATGCGCTGAGCAACTGAATAAACTGTTCAGAATGATCTTCAGCCCTGACCTTTTAAATCCTGAAACTTCAAGCCCCAGACCACAAATGTCAAATCTAAACCCTAATCCCTAGCTCTCAAGCGCCCAACTTGGTACCGGTCCGACCCACGGCCCAGGGATCGTTTAAGCGATGGCCAGCCGCACAGTGCCGGAGTCTCAGACATCGATTTGTGAGGCCTGAATCGTAAGGAAAAAGGCTTGAGGCCTCTTTTCGGATATGTTACCAGAGTAGGTAATATTCGACCTTTTGGGGGTATTTTTCCTTATAGAATCCAAAAGATTTGCCCCCAATGAGTTTTTCTAGGACTGTAAGCATGAATGAGTGCTCTAGGTCCCCCGAGCGCAGCGCTTCCTAGCAGTTTCTCTGGAGTGCCTCAGAAGACTAATTTCCTAGCGAGGCCACAGGGCCAGCTTACAACTTTTCTCGTGATCCGAAGCGGATCTCAAAACTCACCCTAAATCCCTAACTCCTGAAATCCTTAAATCCTAAGTCCTACAAACCCCAAGCTGCGAAGATCTTTTTCTGAGGGGTTCATGGGCCAGAAACATCGCAAGAGCTCTAGCACCAACGGCAAAGGGCTCAAGGCCCTCAATTGGTTATCTTCAGACGTATTTTTACAGACGTATACAACGGATAACAAGCAGATAAGTACATAAATACATGTATAAGAGTAGAAGTACACACATACCCAAAACAAAACAATAAGTGAACCCGTGAGAGAATATCCACATATATATATATATATATATATATATATACATATGTATAAATATACACAGGCCACTTCAAGCAACCTCGCCCTAACCCATAGCCCTAAACCTAAACTCTAAACGCCAAAGTCCCACAGCCTGAATCCAAATCCTGCATGCAAAAAGCCCTGAACCATGACACCCATTGCTGCAACCGTGAAGCCCAGTGCGCAGAAGCTTTGCCCCATAAACTTCAAGCCCTACTGTAGAACCTAGACTCACCCTTGAACCCCATCCACTAAAGCCTCAAACCCCAGACCATACAACCAGACACGGTGTCGCTACACCTGAACATTCCTAGCCTCCCAAATCGTTTAGGTAGAGTCACTACCCTGTGACGATCCTGTCGAGCGCATCTGTGCCGGCGGCTCTGGAAACGGACTGATTACAAACATGTATTATTATTGAGAGCTCCTCGAGAATTGTAGCATGGCATGCCCCAGAACCCTGTTCTATGTACTAAGGCCCCTACTCGGGGCCTTCTGACATTTGCAGGTCAGCTTCATGGTAAGGCTAGGACAAACTATGGTTTCCTTAGGAGTTATTTTTATTCTTGTTCATATAAAACCCAAGAGAATGTTAAAGATATGTTCTGTATTTTGATTCTAAGGGCGTATAGAAAGGGCCACGTTCAGATTTGTCGGTCCTTGCGAGAATGGAGGGATGAAGTGAGAAGGGGGAGTCCTGTTTGACTTGCTCTTCGGGGTTCTTCGTCTTTAGTAACCACCTGGTTCCTTTTTGGGACTACTTCAAGAAGGAACTACTAAAGTTACTAAAGTTTAGTAACTTTAGTAGTTCCTTTTTGAAGTAGTCCCAAAAAGGAACCAGGTGGTAGGATTTGGAGTTCAGGGTTCGGGGTGGTGGGATCATGGGGTGCCGGTTTCCGGTTGGCCTGGGACTGCGGGATTCGTTGGATGGTTAAGATTTCGGATGTGGAGTGGGTTTTAGGCTTTTAACGGGGAAGGCAGCTTCAGCGTGTATGGGTTACGATTCAGTCATTGATCAACAGCGGGTTTGTCTCGGAAAGGCTCGTTGTCATGCGGATACAAAGCACGCCATCGTTGCCACACGTTTCTGCCGTCCTTCAGCATCTTTGTGCATGCATATGCTTGTATGTCAATCTACGAGCTCAGATGTGGAAGGCTATCCTTGCTGCAAAGAAAACCTCTGTAACGATGCAACTGCCAAGGATGCCCTGGTGTTACGATTCAGGGGTCTGGCCTCGGTGTTTGTCCGTCCTGTGAGATTGCTTGACGGCGTTGCTTTCTGACGTGCGGACGTATGTCGTGAACCCACTGCGAAGTTTTGCTCTAAATGTGCAGAGAGTTGATAGGGCCTGGTGGACGTGGAGCCCATTCATAATGGTACTAGACGTGCAGTGCGTTGTAGAAGCTCGAATTCAGTGGCGAAGTGTATTAGAGGAACCCCTTTTTACACCGTGAAGATGCGAACCATTTGCTACCCCAACAAGGGTTTACTACCAGGATCCAAACCTGTGAATCCAGATGTGCAGAAGTCAGGCTGTTGGGGGTTTGCGACGTAAGGTTTGCAACATCTTCCTGTTGAAGAAGTGCTTCGACTTTGCCACGAAGCCGACCTTCGCGCCTCCTGTGCGGCAGTGGTCCTGCCGGTGTTGGGAGGGATCCTGGGCAGGGTCAAGGGTTTGAATGAATCAAGGGCATTACACGGCAAACTCTGCGGAAAACCACAAGACATTCGCATAGACTCCAAGGATAGCCTTTGTTTGTCTGTACATGCTGGGTCGACACTGGGAAAGTGTTATATAAGAGTGAGGATGGTTCTTCTAGTTTTCGAGAGACGTTCGCTTCAAGACAACTGGCCTGGGGTGCGCCACCTCGTGTCCAAGCAGAACACAGCCAAGCTTCTGAATCGATTTACAAGTCAGACGGTGCCTCAGGGGTTGCGAGGCCACAAGAACATGTTTTATCAATCAAGGGGTTGCAAGGCTTCGCGCAGCCAGCTGCTCCGAGAGAGCATGCCGTGCTTGAAAGAAAATGAGGATCAGCTGCCGACGGACTTTGCTGTGGACGAGTACCAGCTCAGTCTACCCTCTGCTTTGAGAAGCAGTTGAGGCGAAAGGAAGCAGAGGACTCGGTCCTGCTCTGCTCCCTACATGCGTGAGCCCTCGTCGTGCCTAAGGAGCGTTTCCCTCGCGCAAGCAAGAGGGGGATACCACCTGGGTGCAAGGTTAAGTCCTTAAGGTTTCCGGTTTGGGGCTTTTTTGCTTGGGGCTTATGAGGATATCGGATTCTGAGTTGAAGCTTTAGTAGGGTTTGGCGAGTTACCAAGGCTTTCTGTGACAGCTGTTGATTTTGAGCTCAGCCTCCGCCCCGTCATAGAACTCTTCCCCGAAGAGGCTGGCATCCCTTAAGCAAGCTCAACTGAAGGGCTGAACAGGTAAGCGTTAATTAAAAGTTTGGGGTGTAAGAATTCCTCCATTAATTCGGTTTAAGGTTTAGGGCTTCGAAGGTTCACCTTGTTTGGGCAGGGGCACCGAGGCCCTATGGCAAGGTCAAGCTCGCACGATATCCAGCAGTAGACCCTTATTCAAAACTGGGCGACAGATTTTTCCGAGCGGGCGAGTGAAACCCTAACCCGCAAAACCCGAGACCCCTGAACCCTAAACCCTTAGACTGGGAAAGTGGTAACATACATCCGAGACCTGAACCAGCCACTTCTCCTCTCCAGATGCCCTGAATCCAGAAGCACAAGCAGCTCAGCTAATAAGTAGTGTTGCAGGTACCCTTAATTCAACGTAGCTGAGTGGATGCACTTTACACTTTTTTGGGAGAGTGTTACCCACTATAAAACTGAAAGTGTACACTTTGGGGCAGAGACAGGGATCCTAATTGGGGTTATGGTACATGGGAGTTTCCGAAAACTAGGGTACCTGCTTTGGGGGTCCTTATAATAAGGATCCTAGTATTTAGGGTACCATATTAGGGTCCCCCTATTTTCGGAAACTCCCAACATGGCTCCATGGCTCCCAGTCCAAAGTCCCCGCCCTGAAAACCCGAGACCTTGACGACTCAAACTGGAGCGTCTAAGAGAAATATGGTTGGTACCCAGAGAAATATGGTTGGTACCCGAGTTCTAGTAGGACGTTCCCAGCAAGAGCAGCAGGCAGAGCTTGCGATATTGGGGGGGCCTGGGGCTTGTAGGGTTCAGATTAGGGCTCAGAGTTTAGGATTCAGGGCTTATTAAGCTTGGAGTTAAGGTGTTTGGGCATAGGATTGGCCTCCATCCGCTCGAGTCCTGGCATTTGTTGCATCTGCCCGAAATCAAGTTCAACGCCATGGCACAGAGTAGTGAGTCGCGTTACATGGGCACGAATCCACCACATGAGCTGGAGTATGCAGTGGGACCTCAGTAGGATTCAGGGGGCTCCATCAACGGGGCTGGGATTACAGTCAGTAGCTCTTAGCGTGCCGTCGGCATACATTCCCCATCCTGACCTCACCCTCACGACCACCATCGTAGTGACAACTGCAGTCGTAGCAGCGCTCCTCGAAACACAGAGCTCCAAGTAGCCCCCAATCCCCGCCCACTCCCTCCGAAAGAAGAAGACACCACATATGTATATCTTTGTTCATAAATAGATATATAGATATATATATATATATACAGAGATATATACATATATAGATATACACAGACAAACTGGGAGCCATGACTTTGCCGGACGCTCTGCGACCTCGGTCGGCGCGTCCGCAGCGGCCCTTGACGGGTGGAGGAGAACTCTCGAACGTAGAGAACCCGGAAGCTCCAAGTACTCAAAGAGTATGGATTGATAGAATGTAGCATAGAGTAATATAGTATAAGTACTCCAAGAGTAGTAGAGATAGATAGAATGTAGCATAGTGAAACATAACGTAGTACAGGTAGTAGAGTACAGTACAGGAGTATGCAGCATATCATAAACTACTGTAGCTTAGAATAATTTGGGTAGGAACGACTACCTACTTGGCATTTTTTCTGCCTAAGTATTGCCTGGTGCTGGAGCATTCAAAAACTTGCTCAAGTCCTCAACCTTGGACCACAAACGTTAGGGGGACTTAGAATTTAATTTTTGGTTATTATATTCCCTAAGACAGCTGAAATTATAATTTTTGCTTGGGTTCTGAGTTCAGTATAGAAACCCGCACCCTCAAGCCGATGTCCTGAACCATAAAACTGGAACCTCACACCAACAGCCTTGATGTCCACGATCCCCATGTGCGCGGGTTCCCCCCCTAAACCCTAAACCCCAAACCTTCTGCCCGTAACCCTAAATCCGAATCCCGTAGCCCTAAACTTCCCTAAACCAAAAAAATCAACCCTAGCTGGGTTGCAGGATTGCCTCCTCGCCGAATCACGGAGTGCGTCGAGCGTGAAGATGAGAAGCTCTGTGGAGGGATCCTCCTCTTGAAGGTGGCATTAGAGTTTAGGGTTTAGGGGTTTGGGGGGGTAGGGTTTTAGGGTTTAGAGGTTTGGGGTTTAGGGTTTTAGGCTTTTAGGGCTTAGGGTTTATAGGGGAAGGGAGTTTAGGGTTTAGAGTTTGGGGATGAGGAGTTCGGATCGAGGGTCTGGGTTTCGGGTCCAGGTTCAACATATCCCACGAAACTCGTACCAGCACTCTCACAGAAACCTTGGTAGAACCCCTAAATTCCCGCTGCACTTCCTGTTCAGCAAGGGGTTTTCATAGAATTCGAAGACCCCGTCAGAACAACCCCACGTCAAAACAAGCTAAAAGGGAATTCCAGAAAGTTGGAATATGGATTAATGGTAGGGCCCCCTACAATTTACCTTAAACGGGTTACGATAATGATATTCCAACTTTCTGGCTTCTACTGTATGAAACCCCAAACCCTAAACCCTAAACCTAAACCGTCAACCCTAAACCTAAACCCTAAACCCTAATCCCTAAACCCTAAACCCTAAACCCCTAAACCCTAAACCCTAATCCCTAACAAGCTTATGAAACCCGGTCAAGCTGTGGGCACCATATCCGAGGCCCTTGGATTTCCGGCCGCAGTCCGCGTCGACTCACATCTCCGATTCCCTGCGTGTTTTGGGTGCACCTACGACTTGCTGTTCGGGCTTTAGGGCTTCGGATTTTGACAGGAGCTGACGAGTTTGAGAAAACTGTCGGTTGTTGCAGTTACAGGGGGTCATTTCGGATTCAGGGGCACTGATTCACCCCAGCTTGCCACGTGATCTCATGTCTTGTCTTATCTGTTTCACTCACAAAAGGCGTGGAACATCACCAGGAACACGTACCCTAAACCAAAACCGCGGCCTTCCTCTTGGCTCAGCCTTTGTCGCCTTGGTGCGCGCTTAGACCTCGCCGCAAGCCTCCCGTGTTCTCACGATGGCCACGACGTCTCAGAGCGAGCGGGAGATGAAGATGGAGCCGACATCCCACAGTGGCCTAGCTCGACAGGTTTAGGGTTTATAGTAGGGTTTCAGGTTTGGGGAGTTTAGGGTTTAGTGTTTATGGGGCTCGACCGTTGCGATGTCCGACCTTTAAGCTTCCAGTTTGGATTTGAAGGCTAAGGGTACTTGGAAGGCAGAGCATGATTCTGGTAGTTGGGGGCTTTGAGAATTTACTATTATTCTGACAGTCCAGCCTAGGTTGCTTCTGCGAAAGCCCTAGACACTAAACCCTACGCTCTACAACCCTGAAATTCTCAACCCCTTAGCCCGAAGGGTCCTAAGTCCCCATATCAGTGGCATGTAGCATTTATACCATACCCTAAGGCTCCAAAGTAGTTCCTTTTTGGGGTTCGTATATAGAATCCTATAAGGTAATCCCAAAAAGGAACTACTATGGAGCCTTTGGGTAAGAAATTCTATGATGATTTGGGAAAGTCTCCCGGCATTGGGTAAGCAGTAAGGCGAAGCTCCTGTGGTGAAGAAGGCCACACGCTCGGCGTCTTGGCTGGAGATTTTGGGCCTCAAGGGCAACTTCAGCCACTTGAACTTCAAGGACCCCTTCAATGTGAAGAAGCTCCCTGGCCATTCTTGAAGAGATTTTCTTAACACTCTTAAGACGGAAAGTTAGATCAACACTAATTTTTCTGTAGTGGCATTATGGTACACCCTTCAGAAAGAATGCGATAGAAAAAACAACCTACATCGGAGCAGGCTTGGTTCCAGCTACACCACCGAGATCCGTGCCGGCTTGACCACATTCTTGGCCATGGCATCTGGGCTTTGGAGTACCATACTTTAATACTTTTTTCTTAAAAGGAACCCTTATGAAATAACAGTGTATACTTTTTTCTCCCTGGTTACTTTAAAGCCCAGGCATACATCCTCCCGGTGAACAGCGGCATGCTCAGCCTCGCAGTTCCCGACATGAAGGAACTTCGGCTCTTGAAAGCCCAGGGCATTTTAAGAAGGTGGTAATCTAGGGGCCTAAATAGTTACCAATACTATGTGCAGGGTTCCGATTTTTGTTATGCCATAATACACCCCAAACCCGTATTCTAATCATTAAAGGCTGTGGCTTCTTACAAGGTGGTATTTAAGTACCATACGGAAAGTCATAGCCTAAGCTTTCGTCTCGCAGAGTATTGGGAAATCAAGGAGCAGCTGGTATGCGCTACCGCACTCGCTTCCTTCTGCGGCTGCTGGCTTATGGGTATCCTGTCCAACTTCCCATTTATGCTTGCACCTGGCATGGGAACCAATGCTTCTTAGACAGACAGCGGGAGAGCTTAAACTTGTTGTCCCCGTATTGTTGGTCCTTCATGGAATGTTTGAACTTTTGTGGGCCCGGTGTTGAAGAAGAAAGGCTTACTTCACCTTCAGCATCGTCTTGGGTCGCGGCCTCCCTTGGCAAGCCGGCTTCGCGGCCGTCTTCATCGCCGGTGGCATGTTCACATTCCTCAGCGTCACGGGCATGCGCACGCTGCTCATCCGGCTCTTCCCGCAACTATGTGGCATTTTGGAATACCCTAAACCCTGAAATCCTCCACTCTGAAATCCGAAACCCTAACCTCAGTAAAGCCTAAGCCTCTTGGTGGCGCTGAAGCTCCTCCTTCCTGACAGCCCATATTTGTTGGAATCCTAAATATGCTTTCAAATCGAACTCTATGTAATGTAGAGAGTATCAAACCCTTACAGTTTGCATAAAGCCGATGTAAAACCCTTGTAGAACTGTGATAAAACCCCGTTCACACGCCCCAAGCCCTATAGACCTCCAAAAAAGGCAAGGCACTCCAGAATTCTAGTTTAAGGGGCCCCAAGACCCTATTCTAATTAATACAGGCCCCCATATTACCCCCCCACCCCCTAAAACGGCAAAAACACCACTAGCAAACCCTAAACCCTAATAAACCTACCCCTTAGAGTAACCCTTTTAGGACCCCTTTTAAGAACCCTATATTACCCCCCCAAAAAGGCAAGGCATCAAGGAGATTATCGGGGCCGGCGTCGGCCTCTTCCTCACCTTTATCGCCTTCCAGAGCTCCGAGGGCCCCTTAGCTGCTTTAAGGAAAAGTAGTTAGGGTTTAGAGGTTTAGGGTTTAGGGCTTAGGGTTTAGAGTTTAGGGTTCGCCAGCGCAGTGCTGGCGCCCTTAGCAATTCCGCTTTTCAGCAATTTGAAGCATTTTCTCTTCCCTAGGGGGAGCCCCTAAGCCCTAAAGTTTTGGTTCATTCCATTTTCGCGTTTCAGTGTTTAGGGTGGGTGGCGCCCCTAAGCTTTAAACTGGGCTTTTGGCTTTTTCCACGCCCCTCTAAGCCTGCTTTGGGGCTGGGATTTGGACTGAAATTGAGGATTTGGGGCCTGGAGTTTTGCTTTTTCCAGACCCCTCCAAGGCCCCAAATTTAGGGTTTTTGGCCTTTTCCAGACCCCCTCCAAGCCCCCAAATTTGGGTTTTTGGCCCTTTTCCAGACCCCCTCCAGGCCCCCAAATCTTTTCTGCTTTTTCCAGAGCCACATTTTGGGTTTTTGGCCCTTTCCAGACCCCCCCAAGCTCTGCCTTTCCAGACCCCCTCCAAGCCCCGGATGGCCTGGAAGCCTGGGGGCCTGGAATTGTGGATTTGGGGCCTAGATTTGGGGCTTGGCCCCCAAATTGGGGTTTTCCAGACCCCTCCAAACCACAAAATTGGTGTTTTTAGCCTTTTCCAGACCCCCTCCAAGCCCCCAAATCGAGATTTTTTTGCCTTTACAAATTGGGTGTTTCTGCCTTTTCCAAACCCCCTCCAGCCCCCACATCGTGCTTTTTGGCCTTTTTCCAGACCCCCTCCAAAGGCTCAAATTGGGTTTTTTTGCCTTTTCCAGACCCCCTCCAAGCCACCAAATCGAGTTTTTTTGCCTTTCTCCAAACCCCCTCCAAAGCACCAAATCGGGTTTTTTTGCCTTTCTCCAGACCCTTTCCAAGCACCCAAATTGGTGTTTTTTGCCTTTTCCAGACCCCCTCCGAGCCGCCAAATTTGGTATTTTTACTTTTTCCAGACGCCCTCCAAGCCCTCTTTTTTCCCTTTCCCCGAACCCCCTCCAAGCCCCCAAATTGGAGTTTTCTGCCTTTTCCAAACCCCCTAATTGGGTTTTTTGCCTTTTCCAGACCCCTTCCAAGCCCCCAAACGTGCTTTTTGGCCTTTCTCCAGACCCCCTCCAAAGCCCCAAATTGTGCTTTTTTGCTTTTTCCAAACCCACAAATTGGTGTTTTTTGGCCTTTTCCAGACCCCCTCCAAGCTCCCCCACATCGTGTTTTTTGGCCTTTCTCCAGATCCCCTCCAAGCCCCCAAATTGGGTTTTTTGGCCTTTTCCAAACCCCCTCCAAGCCTCCAAATTGGGTTTTTTTGCCTTTGCCAGACCCCCTCCAAGCCTGCAAGGGGAATGGAAATGCTGGGATTTGGGGGACTTTTGGGGACTGGAATTGGGGATTTGGGTTTGAAGGACCGGAACTGGGGATTTGAAGCCAGGGCCTGGAACTGGGGATTTGGGCCTTGGATAACTGGAATTGGGGATTGGCGGCCTGGAGGCCTAAAATGGGGATTTGGGGCTCGGGCGTGATTGGGGATTTGGGGTTTGGGAATTTGGAGCCGCCAAAGCATCCAATTGGGATTTGGCCTGGAATTGGGGACTTGCGGCCTGGAAGCCTTGGGGCCTGGAATTCGGGATTTGGGGTGGGCCCGGGCTTGGAAGTGGGGATTTGGGCCTGGAATTGGGGATTTGGGGCTGGGGGCCTGGAATTTGGGCTCCGGGGGTGGAATTGTGGATTCAGGGCTTGTGGGCCGGGAATTGGGGACTGGAATTGGGATTTGGGATGAAAGACTAGCCATCAAAGCCTGGAATTGGGGAGTCGGGGCCTCAGGGCCTGGAACTGGGGATTTGGGGCTTGGGGGACTGGAATTGGGATTTGGGACGAAAGACTAGCCATCAAAGCCTGGAATTGGGGAGTCGGGGCCTCAGGGCCTGGAACTGGGGATTTGGGGCTTGGGGGACTGGAATTGGGATTTGGGATGAAAGACTACCTAGACCCTCAAGAACCCAATAAATTGTCAGTTATAATTTCAGAACCCGGTTATGATAGGTATGTCAAATAAAAACCCGGTTGTTCTTGTAAGAACCTGGTTCTCCTCTTAAACCCATGAAATTGCTTCTGTAGATGCCTTAGAATACGATTGTATTAACCATTGCTACCACATCTAGTGCTCTTGCTGCTGCTGTTGCTACTTATCGTGCTGGTTCCGAACGATATGACCACCATTATGTCTGTATATACAGACGCTATCCTCGGATTATCCGTCTTATATATGCTGTATCTTCCTGCAACCACAGTCCGTTCAATAGGCCCACCAGCATATTCCTCCAGAACTCGGCTCCTGTATTCAAGGTATGAAGATTTCATTACACTCCGATCGTGTATGTAGATTTAATTGTCTCAACAGAAACACAACTCCAGAACCACAACCGGCCAAGAGACGACTGCCTGGCTTCGTTCGCCGGTGTTCATCAAGGCAGCAGGGTTGTAAGGGTCTTTAAATATAAGGGCAAATATACCTGGATAGCTGGGTCGGGTCTGTGAAAATATCGGTTTATGGTTCAATATACGTCGAGGTACACCGCACAGCAGCGCGGAATTCACATTTATGTAGTGGTTTAAGAACTTTTGTTCTGGCTCGTTCGTATATTAAATATATAGAACAATGTTCTATCTAAGATCCCCTTAATCCCGTATAGGACTTCTTACTGATGTAATATAGAAGCTTGGAAGCACAGCTTTGCAACAGCCGTGAGCAAAGCATGCAGCCCTTTTGTCACTGCGACAAATGGCAGAATGGTCGAGAGCTCATCTTTTGTCCTGCCAGTTGGGGGCAGAATGCTTGGCTTTTGTGGCGAGATGTATTTCTGATTATGTATGATCTCAAGGATTTTGTGCCTGCAGCTTGTTAGGCTATAGGGTTCGGGGTTTTGCCATCGATTGCCATGGCCAATTGTTCGCTCGAAGGGCTTGCTTCCCAATGGGATCAGGACGAAGCTTTGCGGGAAGATCTACGACAGGGCAAACCTTTGATAGCCGAGGTATCTGAGAAACAGGTGGATATTCACATGCCTTCGAGGTACAATCGTTTGCTGCTTCCAGTTTTGCACCGCATGCGCGATGCTTCAAAGAAGCTACCCGGGATCGATGAACTTCGGCATGAGATTCGAAAGGTGTTGAAAATGAACAAGCGTGATCCCACGGACGAGGAGGTGGATAGGTTCGGATGGCTGATTCGGAAGAATCTGGGCTTCATTAAGATGAAGTGTCGACGCCAAGAAGTTTCGAATGCTGCCTAGCCAAATATCTTTATATGTTTCGTGATTTTGGAACAAACGATTGTTGCAACTTACAACATAGTACCTTCGGACATGAAATGAAATCCCTGGTTCTATCTTCAGGTTCCTGATTTCCAGCAGTTGTGCCTGGCCCTGGACCCCGACTTGCAGGACTGATTGATTCCAGGGGTGGGGGTTATGCGACGATTCGGATATGTTGATTACCTGTTGACAATATGTAGCCTTCTCGTTCCGAGGGCATCGTGGATCAGATCAACGAATCCCTGGCACGGCGCCGTGCCAGAGCAGAGACTGCTCAGGACTCGATCCAGTATATATGCTTGATCGATGAGTATTTGTCATTGTGGGGTTTTACTTGTCGGGGCTAAAGAAGGTTATATGGTATTCTGTGCATGGCAGGAGACTAGTGACGACGAGGATGCCTACGACGATGACGGAGACGACGGAGCGGATGATGACCAGCCCGATGAGGCTGGTGGCTGCGGTTTGTCCCACCATTTGAATGACTTCATGGCGGCTGTGGGAGAATCGGCTCCGGAAGCCAGTGCGGCTGAGGGAGAATCGGCTCCAGCAGCCGATGGTGATGCCCCCATTATCGATGCTGATGCGTATGAAGGGCCAATCGAGAACGCTGTCCCCGATCCAATCGACACTTCGACGGCTGATCCCTCGATTCCCTCGCTCGACTCTTCGACGACTGATCCCTCACTCGACTCTTCCACGACTGATCCCTCACCCGGCTCTTCGACGGTGACGACTGATCCCTCACTCGGCTCTTCCACGACTGATCCCTCACTCGGCTCTTCGACGGTGACGACTGATCCCTCACTCGGCTCTTCGACCACTCGGAAGACTACGTTCGTGCCAGAGAATCCAGGCGCGGGTAAAAGACGGAGTTTGCTCGTTTACTTATGCTCATGGGGCCTTGTTCGGACCCTTTGTTTCGCTGAGTGATCTGTATATATGATTAATCGCAGCTGAGGTGAGCAAGAGCTGCGACTGCAGCGCAGGCAGCAGATCATGGAACGGCTGGAGATGTTTCTCGTTTATAGTTTAAGTCGATCGAGATATCAAATCAAAAGTATATTGCTGTATATAAGCTGCGGGTTTTTGTGATACGACTCCTGATGAGGCTGCGTATGAAACGAGAGAAGATCACTCAAGCCGCTGCGCTTGCTCCCACCGCAGTGCCGACACAGTCAGGTAGGGCCCATATAAAACATGATACGTGCCACCTCTGTAGACTAGCCCATCGCTCCTCTTCAGTTTGAGTGGCCATGCATGATTGAAAACAGGTCCTCTCGATGGCGTGGAGACACAGCCTGTTGCCATTGAAGATGTGCCGACCCCACCTTCATCGGTCAAGCCCAGGGATGATAGCCCAGATCCTTCCTCTGCGGCTCGCAGGGCGGAGTATCAGAGCAAGGTCCTTCGCAAGTCCCCCACGTTGCCGTACCATCCCTACTCGCCCGAAGTGTTGGACAGCAAGGCTACCAGCTCCAGGGACGGAGCCCCGGCTTTCACGCCGGAGAAGGATTGGGTGTAGAAATCATGCATGTCTTTTGTTTTTAGTAGGTGATAGGTACATGCATAAAGTCATGTATTCCGTATTCCCCAACCACATTCATTGCAGGCTGATGCAGGGGAAGCTCCGGCCACGAGGGTCCATCAGTTGCAGATGAAGCAGAAGAACAAAGCAGAGGATGGTCGCGGAACCCGCGGCCGTGGCGGTCGTGGTGGTGGTCGCGGCCGCGCCGGTCGCGGCCGTGGCGGTCGCGGTCGTGGCGCGGCCGTCGATGCCGATGATGAGGAGCCTGAGCCTGAATACACCCAGGCAGAGTGGGATGAGTGGATGGCTGATTGGTATGAGAAGGAAGAGGGCTCGCATTTCGGTGGAAGCGCTGCGGTTCCGAATGAGAAGCCCGGGCGAAAGAAGACCAAGACTGCCGAGACCGAGGAGAACGAGAAGCCCCGTGGAAAGAAGACCAAGACCGCCGAGACCGAGGAGAACGAGAAGCCCCGTGGAAAGAAAACCAAGACGGCCGAGACCGAGGAGAACGAGAAGCCCCAGCGTAAGAAGACCAAGACCGCCGAGACCGAGGAGAACGAGACCGAGGAGAACGAGAAGCCCCGTGGAAAGAAAACCAAGACAGCCGAGACCGAGGAGAAGGAGAAGCCCCGCGGAAAGAAAACCAAGACCGCCGAGACCGACGAGAACGAGAAGCCCCGTGGAAAGAAAACCAAGACCGCCGAGACCGACGAGAACGAGAAGCCCCGTGGAAAGAAAACCAAGACCGCCGAGACCGACGAGAACGAGAAGCCAAGTGGAAAGAAAACCAAGACCGACGAGGTCGAGGATAAGTCCGTGCCAGCACAGCCCAAGACCTCTCCCAAAAAGGGGCAGGCGGCTGACAAGGAAAAGGTGAAGCCTGGCCGAAAGTCCAGGGGCGAGGACGATGACGAGGAAAGCGAGAAAGCTACGTTCGCGAGGCGCTACCGAGGGAAAGAGGGTGGTTTCGCAGCCGCGAAGTTTGATGCGATCAAGGATTGCTTCCAGCGGAAGGTGATGCCCCAACTTTCGGGACCCGTCACTATCTACGAGGATTGGGTTCCAGGTGAAATATATAACATAAATATGTATAACGACATTTCTAGGTATTATATGGGTCTTTTTCGATTGTTCAAGTATCCTTGTCTCTTTCGGCACGAACTCACAAATGTAGTCTCTGATTCTTCAAAGGACCCCTTCTGGACGTATTGTGTCAAGTTGATGAAAGAGATGCCTGTCGACATCGACCGGGACAACATCGTCAGCATTGTGAACAAGTGTGGCATGAAGTATGTCAGACAAGTCATCCAGCCAAACAAGCCCTGAAGTTCATTTCAACGGCAAAGCCGTTCCACAGTTTGCTTTGATCAAGATCATGACGCACTGCTGTGCACGAGCTTTCTGAAGCTTAGGTGTGCTGATTGTCGTTGGGATGCAAGTTGATGATCAGCTTGCGGGGTGACAAAACCACCAGCCTAGAAAGGCCTTGTGCTTAGTGGAGTGGTGCAGTCTAGGTTTCGGGCGACTCTAGCCTATCGGAAGGCGATACTCAACCCGTATAACCCTATATCGTGTATATGGGCCTTAAATATTTTTTCGGAACCCTATATAAACCCTAAACCCATTAAACCCCTAAACCCCAAACTTGGCGCTAAACCGTCTTACCTCTATATCAACCCATACAACCGAATCAAACGGAAAATGTATCACCTTAAACTATATAGATCCGAACTGATCCAGGGTAGTAAGGCTATAGTACGGCTCCTATATAGGCTATTGTCAATCGAAGCCTGCACTCGGTTCCAAGCTTGATCACCTGAGAAGGCCTGCTGTGTTGTCTTCATGTTGTGCAATGCACACCTGATTTAAGATCCTTCTTATATAGAGATAATGCTAGCACTACCGTGGCCTACAACTTCTTGCGACGTGCCTTCTATAGAGGGCCGAACACTGGTGCCGTTCGTCCGACTCCAAATCCGAACAGGTGCCGCGAGAACAAAAAAGCAGCACTCGATAACATGATCTGCCCAACTTTTGATTCAGGCAACCTAGCACATTGAGACTTTGCTTGCTTCACGGTGCACGCACTCGAACTGCTGCATGCTGTCCTCGCCCCACCGCTTCTGCCCATGCCCAGGTCAAGACCAGATCGCAGCCTGCTCGCGGCAACAAGTGGAAGGTCAGGCTCACCCTCCGTTCCAAGAAATGTAATCCCAGCCACGTTTGATTGTTCCAGCGGGTGTGCATAAGTCTGAAAAGTCTGCGTTCGGCTGTTGCTGACGAATGTGAGATATCCGTTGGTCGAGGATCAAGGTTTGGGGAGACGGTACATAGGTCCTGTGCAGGCACCAGTCTGTAAACTTTGAGTCGTTATCAATATGAGCTACCATTTCGCAGTGCCGTGATGCATTCTTCTTGTAAGTGGCTTTCGCTCTGCCGCAACAATGGTAAACCTTGATCGGCTTTTGTATGCACTCAAGCGCCTCGACGTTCCAAAAGAGCCTTGGCTTAACATAATATATTTGTGCTATCTAGATACTCTGTATGTCAAGACTAGCCTACTTGGGCCCAGGAGTTCGTTCTATGCTTGCTGCTCCTGGTGTTCAGCTACACGGATGAGCAACTGATCCAGGCTGGGAAAGCCTAGACCCGTGCTGCTGTTTGAATATAGCACTATGTGCATTGTCATTGCGTTCCAGGATTATGATTTCTTGGAGTTTTATGCTGGTCGAGCTCGGACAACACTCGCGATGCGAAACAAATCCTTCAAATCTGGACGGTTCGACAAGAAGTACAATCAACGTCACCCAGGACACCGCTCCAACTTTATGGATATTAACGATCCTTCCGGCTTCCTGCATCTCGGTAGAAGATCTCGTGCAGGATATACGTAGATAGAGGCGACATATCCAATCGAAGACCCTGCCCGTGTCTAACCTCCTGAGGCTCGCGTGCTACTTCATCCTCCGTGGCTGCCCAGACAACTTCTTCGCTATGTTTGCAGTAATGTGTTCTTCTTTCACCAAGATGAATGCTGGAACATCCAAACGAAGCAAGTGCAGCAGCATGGGTTTCGATGCCTTCCCTTCAGTTAGTTACAGCAACAAGTTGCTGGAGAGGAGAGGGACGAATTATGTAGCACGACACATACCCACGTATATCCTATAAAACCTTAAACCCGAAAACCCTGATCCTTAAACCCTTGATTCCCCAAAAAACACAGGCCCAGTTCCTCAAGGATATCTAAAAAAACCGCCCGGGCAGGAGTGTCCTCCTGATCTATCTCGTCACGGCGCTCGGAGGCACATGGTTCCTCGAACAGCCGAGTCAGTCGGTTCTCGAATACTATCCGACTTTTCGGAAGATGCTTCTTGATCTTTTCAATGTTCAGGGAGGAGATGCTGCAGCTCGGTTGCCGCTGTTCAAATTGCAGGTAGGCTTACGTGCCGAGTGTGAGAGACAGGGGAGAGAGAGAGAGAGAGAGAGAGAGAGAGAGAGAGATTGACAGACAAATAGAAGTGGCTAGTTCACGACAAGTGTCAAGATAGTCGGCAAGGTATTTGACACGAGATGGTGGATGTGTCAATACGGCGCGCCGACTCCAAAGCGACACTATGCCTACTCCAACAGTGACAAGATATATCTGTTGAACCAGGGCAAGCTGTACGTGAAGTGTGGACAAAGGTCTCAAACAGTATCTCGAAAGAGAAATGCCGAGGGAAAGCAGTGCTATACAGGGACCAAACACCTACGTCCAACGGAGTGCCCCGGTTGCTGTTCTTGCCAGGTTTGGAATTTCGGGCTAGGGTTTTCAGGACATGCGGGAGTTATGGGGTTCTATATAGGTCCTATATCGGTCCCAAGCCGTGATAGAGGGTCCTCATAAGTCCTGACTTAGCATATGTCTGTGAGATATCGGCACCTGTTTACATTCTATACAGATGGACCCTCTATAGAGGTCCTTGCACATATATATTTCTATATTGGACTATTGGGTGGTATGTAAACCCTAAGCCCTATACCCCTATAAGCACATATATGCGTTATATCGTTCTACCGACGTGTTCCAAAGTACCAACTCAAGGGTATATACAGTCTCTATATGTAAACACAGAATCACTGTGTAAGGCCTCCAAATTCGGGTGAGTTAAAATAACAAACCTATATAAACCCTACACCCTAAACCCCTAAACCCTACAAATATATAGGGGAGGACTGCTTAGGTCGGGGCTTTCAGGTCAGAAGGTTTCACATCTTCGAACACACATAAGACCCCCATCCCGAGCATATCCTCGTTGTTTTGACATATGTGATGCCCCTATATTACTATACAAGCCTGAAACTGAAACACTCGATCGATTCTGAAAGCACAACCCCGAGATCGTCACCTAGACCGGACCATCTACATAAGGCTTTGTGCTTGGGATTTGGGAGGCCTGGGCTTTTCAATAGGAATGGAAGATCGTATCAATCGTGTATATAGTAGTAATCTATGGCTTATCTTAAAGGAGCAGGGTACCTAACCGAGGTTGGTTCCCCCTGTTGTACTATAATGATTGTAATATCTATATAGACCTCTATGTTCGGCCTGTCAATCTCCCCAACAGATTCACACAAATGGCTCTTGTATAGTTCTCCCACGTAGACCAGACGGTACCTATACCATATAGGAAAGCACCAGGCTAGCCGAAGGGAGCTTATTGGTTGCAAGGCCGTACGAGAAGCGGCTATATATGTAGATGCAGACTGAACTAATGGATTGCCGCAAAACAGACAATTGGTGATTCTATACGGAAACAATCAATGGGCACCCTCTCTCGATCCCTATATAATTACACACATCCTTGCCAATCCCCTTATCTACTTTTGGAAGCCCGGACCCTGCCGAGGGAGTATCCGCCACGGTTCGCATGCTTCCTGGCGCACCATTGCCAGCTCCTGAAGGCCACGGCACATGGACAGCCGGAGGTGCCAGAGGTGCTACCGAGTGCTGTAGAGACATTTGTGTCGATGCAGTATGGTAGCCAGGATGACATGTTTTCCTTTGCGGCTCTACAGGAGGTGTTTGTTTATGTACGAGGTGGCAAAAGGCTTGTGGTTCCACCTGAGTGGAAAGACCTGGTGCCTCGTAGTTTTCCCGGGACGGTTTAGTCGATTGCAGCTGGGGCTAGAGTCGTCACCGTGCTCCCGAAAGTAAACATCAACTGGGTTTTGCTCGTAAAGTCCTGAGACCCTCTAGACCCCAGGGCAATTGGCGATGTAGCTGCCCTTTGGTTTGAGGGAACTCAAGAATTGTGCTTCGATCCAGGATGATTATGGGATCTTGAAGTATAGCTCTGAAGCACTTTTAAGCATTTTAGTAGCCCCCAAGTTGATTTTGAAGTGGTTTTATGGTATGCAACCCAGGCTTACCCGTATTAAACCCGTATTTACCCGTATAAAACCCATATATTACCCGTACGCAGCCCGTATAAAACCCATATATGCTGGTACCCCATTTACAACCTACTTTTCCCAACCCGTATTTAACCCGTATTAAACCCATATTTAAAGCGTATAAACCCATATTTAAAATATGGGTTGCTAGCTTCCGCTAGGATACCCCCAAAGTCAGCTTCTGAAGCACAACTGGAGGCCTCAAGTACAGGTACAATTCGATAAGATCGTGTGCGACTGCGCGCACAGCCGTTCAGCACTGCACGAAAATCCGATTTGTCATCAACTCTGAAGGATGCTTTGCTTGGTTGTGTGGATGCTTCTACCTTCCGACAACCCCAAACACACTTTTCGCAGGTCCTCCAGTGCCAGGTAATCGCAGGTCAGCTCCTATAGTGCCGGGGCCATGGAGGTAGCTTCGAAACAATGGAGCACGGCGACTCTAGATGCCGGGGTTTGCTTTGTGGAGACGGATGCAAACTTGTCGAAGCTAGACGACGAGCAAGTCCAACTCGAGCGAGAGCTCCAGGAGACACTCTAGCAGTCGTATGTATCGATCACTTCATATACACAAGCCAGATAATCTAGATTACAAAATACCAAATCTAGCCCGGAGCGAGGAACTGGAAGCTCTGGAGTCCACGAACTTGGCCGAGCAGAATCATGCCCCTTGGTCAATAGCCTGCTTCTAGAAAGCGACAATGATATTCAATTGGATTGTGTCTACCGATCTGTGTAGGAGCTGTCTTCTACAGAATCAGGTGCCGGATGGGTCCAAGGCGATCTCTGAAGCTGACACGCTTCCTGTCGCGAGGATTGAATACAGTCCTGCAATATATTTCTAGATAACCTCCGCACTCAACTCCTCGTTTGCTTCAGTTATGAGCAATGCATCCCTTGCCCAGGCAACCGCCGAAGATCTACGATGTGCTGGGCTGCCTTCAGCCACCGAAGAGGAGCCCATCGATGTCGATGTTGCCTGGCTGCATGTATTCCTAATTCTCAGATCGAGCTGCATTGGTTCATTCTGAACCCGATCGAGGGTACCATCTCGTTGAATCTCAGGACATTCCTGAGGAAGAGATGCTGAGCTATTTCAGAAATGTGCGTCTGACGGTTGTGAAAGCCGAGCCCCTCGGGGATACTCCTGAAAAGAGCCTGGCCTCCCAGCCCAAGTCTACAGCGCCGCCTGAGCAGCCCCAGCAACCGACCGAAGTGCGTCGTCCTATCGCGACCCCAGCGAGAACACCTGCTACACCCGTCCCGGTCAAGATCGAAAGCAAGCTCAAGCTCACCAAGGAACATACGCGCCAGGACAGACAAGAAAGTCTAGTTCAGTTGTATATTACAGACCAATACGTAGACCGGCTGTCCCAGGCAGATATACACTCATTATACAGATACAATCTATAAGTTATATATAGTGCAACGATTTGGTATGTGTGTATATTGTGTTGATATTGACAGGCATTACAAATTCGTACGTTTCTTTTTGCAATTCTATCGACCAGTCTTGCTTTCGGATAGGGTTTAGGGTTTAGGGTTTAGGGTTTAGGGTATAGTCGACACCCAATATCCTATTGGAGACCTATATAGATATATACATGTTCCTACCTTCACTTACTTATAGCCTTATATCTAACTGAATTGAAATAACGGCACCACTTTCGTGTGCACTGGAACTAGACACCCCCACCTTACCTATGCATCGATCCGTATCTTTAAAACTTACCGAAACTTCGAACTATGTTGACCCTCAGCCTCCACATCTGCTTTGGAGGAGAAGCTGCTCCTGGCGGCCAGATCCCGGTTGAACCGTATGATGAAAGTCCACAAGAAGAAGAAGGAGTTGGAGGCTCCCGAGTATGCTAGAAAACACTGGGAGGGCAACAAGAACGAGATGACTCTGTTGCTTCGCGACTGCAACTTCTCCAAGGACCTAGGGGTGCCAGCGACCCCCATGATTGGATTTCTTGATCCCCCCAACTCAATGGTTCATGCCGCTAAACAATCCATGGGTGTGAGGACATGTTCCTGGAGAAGCTCGAACGCATAGTGAAGAAAAAAGAGAAGTACACCTTAAAGGTCGACGAGGGCTGGTACAGTGCATCAGAGATGAAGACGGAACTTGGATGGTCCCAGTCACGCCCTGAACTATCCGGCTCGTGGTGACACAATGCATGTGTATAGCTGATAAGAAGATACAAGCGGCACTGTATAATTATGACATGCCGGCCTCAGGACCAGAATCGATGGGGCAATCCGCGCATGCAAGGCCATGGGCGAGTCCCACTGCCGGCCTGGGCCCAGGATGGGGCAAGGAGTCCTTCTTGTCGCTCAAAGTAAACACTGCAAGAACTGTGTTATCCCGACTTACAGAAACCAAGGAAGAACTGCTACGACGAGGTGGAGGAATTCTGGGTGCGGATCAGGGAAACCGGGGCTAGGAAGGAGACCCTGTCTGTGGAAGAACGACAGAGTAGCCTTGGCAAGGCTTCCAAGTTGAAATGATGTTTCGTAGATTGACGCATATATGTGTTGCAGCAGAAATAACTGTCGGCATCTATAGTTTTCATGCTGCGTTCGCTCTTGACTTAGGCTGATCAACCTCTGTCAATTTCGGGCGACTCGTTCAAGGGTGTGGAAGCTTACAAGAACAGCCAGAATGACACGAAGAAGCAGATTGCGGCCAGTTCGCAGAGCTCCAAGGTCCGTCTTTCTATATGACATCTTACCCCTGTGAGCTAGTGTGGATAATTTGTTGTTGTGTGTGCACAGTATCTGATGCAGGCCGCCAGCGTATTGAAGAAATTCCTTGAGGACCTCCTCGCTAAGATTGGTAAAATTCGTGGCCTCACCAAAGACCTCTCCAAAAACTACGAGGATGCTGATACGCAGAAGCTACAAATCTGAATGGGATGTGATTGACAAACCCAGCAAAACCCATTTGTATGAAGTTCGTAAACCCGGCCTTACCCTATAAACCCTAAACCCCGAAACCCCCATAGTTAAGAACCCACTCTTAATTATATATAGTTTTTGCAAGTCTCAGCCCAAAGCCGAAGCTGCCCACGAACGCAAAGGCACATCAAGGTCCTGAACGATTTTGTGGAGAAGATGGAAGCCGAGCACGAAAGGAGCCAGGTGGTTTACAGCGAGGGCGAGGTGAGTGGCTTCGATGCGTCGTACCTAGCCTTAACCTGGTAACGATATTCAAAGTTGGTTTGTGCCTGTCCTAGCAAAGGTTCAATGCAAAGGCTGAACAGCAGATGAAGACGGCCACCTTCGTGTACGGTTCTCAGCTCTTACGCATAACTTATGGTTTTGCGCTTCGCTACATCCAAACCCGTTAATCTACATACGTTTGAGGTGCAGCAAAGCGGTTGCTGCCGAGACGAGAATCCGGACCGATGTTTCGTGTTGGTTGAGCTCTTTGCTGGGTTGGGGATT